GAAACCTGATCCTTAGTTTTTCCGTTCTTTCAGCATTATACACCACTTAATAATTTTTAAATATACCTAACAATAAGCTAGCATTTTTAACAAATATAAACTATTTGTTAAAAATGCTAACCGTAAGATGGACGGTGTGGCTTAATGTATATAGAATAAGTGAAAGGAAATTTAGTATAGACCGGATAGCTCAAATGGTAGAGTAGCCGACATGTCTTTGGAAGGTTCTGGGTTCGAATCCCAATCCGAGCTATCTAATAATTTTTTCTCACATATTCTATACACTCACATTAAGATGATCCTCTCCACAATCCTTTCTCAATCCTTTCCTATCAAAATATCCTGTTACGTGAATGTTGGAACGCTTCACCTAACAGGATAATTGGTAGGAAAGGATTGAGAAAAGATTGTGGAGAGGATTATCTTAATGTGAGTGTATAGAATATGAGAGAAAAATTATTAGATAGCTCGGACTGGGAATCGAACCCAGAACCTTCCGAAGACATGTCAGCACTCTTTCTCGAAAGTGTGATCAGCATGTCTCTGGTATTGGTCTTGTGGATTTTCTCCACGGTCGTACGGACCTGTTCATCAGGGACGGACTGCTTGATTCGACGCAGGATCTCGGCGTATTTCTCCTTCTCGGCCGGGCGAATGATCAGTGCGTCGGGTCTGATCCATTTGCGGGGTTTTTTCCGCTCCGGCCTGGGCTCCTTTGCAGTCTGCTTTGGGAGCTGCTCTTTGGCTAGTCTCCTCTTCTCCTTCCTTGATTGGACGTTTTGCCAGGCAGCTGCGTCTTTATTCTCGGCGTTCTGCTTCGTCGCGTCTTTCAGAGGACTTGGCTTCAGGTCCTTCTTCTTTGCCACTCGGCAGACTGCAAAGGAGCCCAGGCCGGAGCGGAAAAAACCCCGCAAATGGATCAGACCCGACGCACTGATCATTCGCCCGGCCGAGAAGGAGAAATACGCCGAGATCCTGCGTCGAATCAAGCAGTCCGTCCCTGATGAACAGGTCCGTACGACCGTGGAGAAAATCCACAAGACCAATACCAGAGACATGCTGATCACACTTTCGAGAAAGAGTGCTGACATGTCTTCGGAAGGTTCTGGGTTCGAATCCTAGTCCGAGCTATCTAATAATTTTTTCTGGCATATTCTATAAACTCACATTAAGAAGTTCCTGATAATTAGGACCTTTCTCAGTCCTATTCTCTCCCGGTTCACAGCATTATTTATATTTGTTAAGCTACATTAAGCCACACCGTCCATCTTATGGCTAGCATTTTTAACAAATATAAATGCTGTGAAAGAATAGGAGTTACGGATAATTTATTACGTGAAGCGTTCCAACATTTAATTTTGATAGGAAAGGATTGAGAAAGGATTGTGGAGAGGAACTTCTTAATGTGAGTGTATAGAATATGTGAGAAAATTTTTTAACAAATATAAATAATGCTGTGAAGCGGAAAAGAATAGGAGTTACGGATAATTATTACGTGAAGCGTTCCAACATTCACGTAACAGGATAATTGGTAGGAAAGGATTGAGAAAGGATTGTGGAGAGGATCATCTTAATGTGAGTGTATAGAATATGTGAGAAAAAAAAAAAAAAATTATTAGATAGCTCGGACTGGGATAACTCGCTTCGCTCGTGCCGCAAATGTCGGGGGCAGGCATCAATTTTTTTCAACGCAATTTTTAACGTACTTTCGACCGCATAGTAAGAAAACTAGTATACACTACATGGGCAGAAATTTGAGAGCCCTGAACTGCGTGCCATGATGCCCTCGGCTTCGCCTCGGGCATATGGCGCGCAGTGCAGGAATCTCAAACTTTCTGCCCTTGTAGTGTAATATACTATTAAAGACTGGGAAATTATTCTAAGTCCCAAGCAAGTTTTAGTATGGGAACTCGACGAATGGATAGAGAATGAAAGACATAACGATTAAAATAATAAAGAATTGTGAATTTGACGAGACGAATGGATGGATAATGAAAGAAATGACGATTATTATTTTAAAGAAATTGTGTTTGAGAATTAAAACTTAGAATTTGACGAACCGAATGGATAGAGAATGAAGGAAATGCCAATTAAATTGATAGTTTGTAATCACCGTATAGATGGCAAAAACGATCATTCCGGTCCATAGTAAGTGGGTTTTTGGGAAAATGATAAAGTCCAAAATTTTATCACGGAAAAGCAAGTCTTGTGACAGAGTGTTATTGTGGTGAATATTCTTCCATCAATAACAATTGAAGGGACATTATCTCGGTTCGTCTTGAACATTGGTAAGTACCTTTTGAACTCTTAGCAAGATTTGACTTCCCTGGATTTTTGACCTTCCGTCAAAACTCCAGTAGGTGATCATACGCCGTGTAGGTGGGGGTGAAGAGGACATTCTCCATTCGCTCTCGGGGTAGAGGTTTAGGCCCAGGGGTGACGGCTAGTCTCCTGGGGAAACGGGGAACCAGCTTTTGGAGTTGTAGTTCGCGATTTTGACGCTCACGACGAGCGAGTGTGTGTGTGAGGATTCTTATTTTGTAAAGACCAGTTTTGAATCGGATTGTTGTTACCGACGGAAGGTACGCGTGCGTTTACCGACGAAAGATTATTGTTTTGAAATCGTTTCTTTATATTGTTGTTTTGATTTAGTTTTTGGGGTTTTGATATAACCTAAAATTGTATCATGTGTGTTTTTTTTTTACTTGTAATCTTGTTTTTTTTACTTATTTAAGTGATTTTGATAAATAAATTATTTATTATATCTTTATCATAACCTGTTTGACTTTTCGAGTTTATTTCTTTAGATTTAGTATCTATTATGCTATTTACTTTTAATTGAGTTTGTTTTGGCTTTTTTTTTTATTTTCGGTTTTGTTATATTTTGTAATCCCCGTTTATGACCCTGGACTTCGGCGAGCTTCAGATTCGAGCAACGATTTTCTTACTGGTCAAAATCCCGCTTAAGTGCAGGGCAAATTAAGACTTTGGGATTTGACCCTCTAGATTTTATCTACTTATCGAGCCCTCGCCTAAGTGCAGGGCAAATTAGAACTTTGAGAATCCCGACTCGTAGATATTAAAACTAATACGTGGCCTGCCGGTTGAAACCGCGTCTGAACTCGAATTAAGTGCAGAGCAAATTAAGACAAGGGACTTCGCAAGGCACGGGCCTGTCAAGTTAAACGCGGAAGTCGAATTAACTAACAAAAGACATGGATTTGGCTGTTGATTGCCTTTTTAAAAACTCGCGGTGCTGAGATTGCAGAAGTCCCCGCTAGTCAACCAGCAGTCACGTAGCTTACATTTTATTGTGGCTTTCGCGCATGGAAAAGTCTTCCATCCGCGCGGGTGGTTTAAATTAAAAGAAAAAAATGCGGGTGGACATAACACGAACTTGATCTTAAATTTACTTGAAAGAGAAATTCATTCTTTATAAAAAAGACCTGAATATCCTTTATCGTATCTCTAATAGTTTGAAAGATAAATCAATTTTTTAATCGACAAATCAAGTAGGCGCTATAATTACCGTATCGTATGATATTAAAAAGTATTGTAATAAATAAAAAAAAATTTTTTTTTGCACTTTATTATATATAGCTATTTTTATAATTTTTTTCTGCTTCAGAAAAAAAATATAACGTTGGTCAATATTTGTTTATAACAAATTGTTAAACTAATAAACAATTAAATAATTAATAAAAAAATTTGTTTTTTTTTGCCAAACTATTTAAAAGTGTAAATTATGATTTTTAAGAAAATTTTTTCTTAACTAATTATTTAAACAATCGAAATATAAAAAAATCGTTTTTAAACAATTAAAAATTAAAATTAAAGAAAATTTTTTTTTTAAAAATCATAATTTTTTGTAAACAACAAAATAGCAAAAAAAAATTTTAAAAAATATTGAATTTCTCTATTTGTTTATAACAATTTAATAAACAAATTATGTAAAAAATTCATAATTTATGTTAATTACTGCCATTGTTCAATGTGAAAACAGGCATAGCTAAATATTAATTGAAGAAAAATTTTTATCAACATTTTTTAGATTCTTAATTTTTCAATAGTTATATAAAATAATAATTAACAAATTAATAAACTTTAATGAAAATAAACCGCAGGATCTTATAATGTACATATATCAAAAGGGCTCCACGAAGTTTAAAATTTATAGGCCAATTATTTATACCTTTCATCCTATTGTTTATGCCAATGGAGATTGGGAAAAAATTGGTTAGTTAACAATTGAATAACTTTTTGAAAAATGGTGATTAAACTTTTTTTTCTTCAGGGCTCGATTCTTTCAAGTGTTAAGAAGATACTAGAATTTTTTCAAATTTTTAAAATCACATTTTATGTAATAAAAAAATTATTTTTATTGTTTAACTCTCTTTAGCAGCGGCGCGCGCATGCCGTAACTGCCGCGCGGAGCCCTATTTTCAACGTCTAATTAAAATTATAAATAATGGAGATAGAATTCCGGGAGTCAGGACTTTTTTATTGGAAATTTCCTCCTCTTTAACGAGCTTTTTTCAAAATTGCTTAAATGTTAATATTTTTCGAGTTATTAACAAAAAACGAAATATCATTTTTTTTTCATCTTATTTTGTTAATAACAATTGCAATTTTTAACCTGCACCAAAATCCTTCAAAAACATTTTTCTAGAGGTGATTCCGAATCGAATGAGCCATCGCTCATATTTTTAGGATCTTCATCTCTATTTTTCACGTTTTTGAACTTGTTGTCTAGACATGGGAATGCAGACGTAAACCTAGTGTGAGAACTAGTACAATGTACTATAAGCTAATACGCAACATAAACATCGAAATAAGTATTGATGCTTAGTATTAACTCAATTTTTAAGTTTAAACAACTCACATCTTGTTATTAACTTTGAAATGGATTTTTTAAGCATCTGTTAGCACTTGAAACATACTTGGATAAGATAAGCGGAAAATTAACTTGATTTTAGCTGTATTTAGAAATATATCTTTTTATGTTACACAGATACCAGTTTCTTGCTTTCGACTTTGGAGAACAAGTAGATATTTCTAAGGAAAACTGTCGCTTACTTCTTATTAGATTGAAAATGGAAGGATGGATGATTAGTCGATCGAAAGTATTTTTAAAATATTACAACGAAGAGTATCTATCAAGATTGTATGAAACTCAAGTTCGAAAAATAATTAAAATTCAAAGTATGCTGAGAGCTTTTCTAGCTTGCAAAAAACTCAACAAAGCAGCGCAGAAAAAAAAAATAAATGGTAAATATCCACATTCAATAATTGCTTGATTATAAATATAGTGTCATAACAGTTTCTGGAGAATAAATATTTTTACAGTTCTAATAAATTTTAATACACAGTATACAGTAAATTTTCAAATTTTTTTTATTTTTTATTGTGCTTTTTATAAATCTAAGATTTTAATACGGGTTCAGCAATGAGTTTGGCGTGTGCGGATTTTTCCGCTTTAGGAATATATGGCTGTGGATCAACTTGTACATGACGATAGAATATTTACCGTGTGTCTAACTTATCCGTACAGGATAAGACTAAGCACAAACTGCTTGGCCAACTTCGCCGACTGCAGGCTAACCGAGAAAAAATATTTATATATAATTATAATTATATATATTTATATATAATTATATATATTGATATATAATTATTATATATATTCATACATAATTATATATATTTATATATAAATTGGTTATATATGGTTATATATGAAAAATGGCCAAATATAATCATATATAATTATATATAACATTATTTAATTATATATTGTAACAGGGTGCTTTTAGCGCCACCTGTTAAGACGTTTTTTTTTATTATTATGGTAATTTATCTTTGAATTTAATTTAAAAAGAAATTTAACTGAGTTCTTAATTCTAAATTTATTTAATGTCCACTGGTTGAATTCGCCGCGACCGAGTCGCCCTCGCGTGAGGAAATTTGACCGAAGCTCGATTGCGCGCGAAACAAAAATTTATTGCGAGGATAATTAATTTAATTTAGTAATTAAGTAATCTTTAAGTTAGTTTAAGTAATTTTATTGTAAGAATGGTACTTATGACTGGTCACGAACCCGCGAAGAGAGACCAACGAGGATTATCGACGTGGATTATCTGCAAGATCATCAACGACGGACGGATGGTTGTCTCAAGAACGAGCTAAAACGACGGATTTATTGGAACTCGAAGTGAGCAATCGACGCATGGGTGAAGGCGGAAAACTGGCTGTCGAACGCGCCAATACTGCAGCCAATAAATCATTCAAACGTCGATATTGGGAAATTGGACTTGCGGCGCCATCTCTAGAGTTAAAAGGTAACGACGGACCCAGAAAGAGGGGAGAGACGAGGAATGCGACATGTGCTTTTTTTTTCCTTCTTCCACGTTTCGATTTGCCGCGTGCGGACACTTTTTCTATTCTGAAGAATTTGTTGGTTATTTTTTCTTATTGTCTGATTTTGAGATTTTTATTAAAAAGAATAATTTGGAATTCTTGCGTTTGAAATCTGACGATTTCTTTTGAATTAGCCACGACGTAGTGTGCTATTATTGATTATTGAGTTGATAATTGCAATTCTGTTTGCCAAAAATTTATTACGGCATTACGACGATAATTGGCTGTCGCCAATTATTTATTTAATAAAAATTAAACCAGCTCGACGACAATCGGCTGTGGCTGTTTATTATTGATTGTAAGGTTTATAAATTAAACAAAAATACGACGTGTTCTTGAGTGATCGCTAATCGACGTGTACAATTGACAAGAGGTCAGCAAGTGTCCTCACCAAGGAGTTTACTGTCCAAACTAGTCGACGTGGAAGCCGAGTACGACTTGGTGCGGCCAATCGACGGGCAACGTAGATTTACGTCTTCGACCAGGGTGAGTGCCACGGTTTTCTTAAATAAATAGCTCGTGGGATTTATTTGGCTAAAATAATTTTTTTTAATTATTCGTAATTAAATTTGTCGTGCTTGGTGTGACACATCGCCAAAGAATTTCAAGGTTGCTTTGAGTCAACCAATAATACAATAATCCCACGAGGTATTTCGGTACCGCCATTGTTTGTTTTTTAGTACGATTGTATGGAAGTTGGTATTGATATTATTATTATTATAATTTTGTTTTGTATAAAATCGACGTTTACTCCCGTGGTAATCGACAAGTTCGATTATCCATTGATCGAGCTTCGGGTTCGTGCGGATTGATAAATTATTTATTATTTAATTCCGTTGAATAAACAGAAAATTAATTTATTTAATCTTTAATTAAATTTATACTTAATTAATACCAGCGGACGTAATAATTTATTATATATAGGTTGATTATTGCTTAACTGCGGCGAATGAATTTTTTTTTATTTTACTGAACTAAATTCGGTGGAGATTTAGAAAATTAAATTTGAATTAATTATTATTGATTAAATTTTTTTGGCAAATTGATTGTTAGAGTTAATCATTTAATTCATTGCTATTAATCAAATCGAGCGAAGTTGTAATTTGTTTTGGGTTAATTAACTGAATTTAGCTGAATTGAGCGACGATTTATGAACAAGGTTTTTTTTTTTGTTAATTAAAAATAACTGACTTGAGCGACGATTGATGTTTGATTATTTTAATTAATTGTTATTAATTGAATTTCGAGGACGTTATTCTATTGTGTTATGATTTAATTGATTATTATCAATTAAATTAAGCGATGATTTAACATATCGATAACATATCGATAAATTAAGCGATGAACAGGTAAAGCAGGTAGGCCAGATTATTTATTTCGGGCTTCGTCTTCGCTAACGCACGAGTACGAAAATCCCCGTTATAATATTTATTGCATCTAATTAATTATTGGGTTAAATTTATGAATAGAGTATTTAATACGGTCCTACGCAATTCTTTATAACCAATTAAAATGTAAAAAAAAAATGTTTAGATGTAATTTTACGGCTATAACACCAGCGGTAACTCATTCAACTGTTAACTCTGCTCAATGCTGCTTAACTTTGGTGATCTCCGTGCGTCTTGAAGTTTCTGTCTGCTCTGCTGCTGTCTCTTGGATAATGATAATTCTATGATCTACATAATGTATCATATGAATTTATCATAAATATAATATAAAAATCGATTTTATAATATATTCGGATAGTCATAATTCATAATTTTTTCATTTTACCGAATCTCATTATAATATAACACTAATTTAAATAATTTATTTATTTATATTTATAATTAGATAATTAGATAATAGCCAGTCTATTTATAATTAGATCTAATCAGACTTGCATTGCATAGTCAGATGTGATCAAAATGTTTTCTTTGAAAAATAAATTTTTTTTTAATCATAAAAAGTGCAAACTGAAGTTTATAATAACGTTTAAATAATTCTGAATTACAAAATTTGTTACATTTCCTATGAGATGTTTTGGTTTGCTCTGCTATACTATACCTAATAGTAATATTATTATTTTTTTAATTATTTAAATTAGTATTATATTATAATGAGATTCGGTAAAATAAAAAAATTATGAATTATGACTAGGGCCAGGAATTTGGTTTTGTTAAAAGACAAAGAAAAAAGATAGGCGGGGCCAAGTTCTCTGATTAGTTGAAAAAAAATGAATTTGTTTTGTTTCTCGCAAGCACCTGAAGCCAGTAGCATAGTAAAAAAAAAAATCGGATTGCTAAACCAAGATAAAAATATATTTAAAAAAATGCTGATGATGACGCTAAATTCAGCAAACTCTCGACGATGTTGTAATAGCATGTTTTCAGGATAGTGGAAAAAAAAATATTTTGAAATTGCACACGCACCCACGGCCTCGCAGACAAACACGTTGGTAATTTTCTGAGATATTGTACTAAGGGTCTTGCTGGATAGCACGCAGAAAATTTTGCTGAATATCGCGCTTATGATCTTGCTGGTCTTCTCGCTACATATCTTGCTTGATATCGCGCTGACGGTCCCACTGGATATCTTGCTTGTTATCGCGCTGACGGCCTCGCTGGAAGTCGCGCTGAAGGTCTCGCTGGATATCTCGCTTGATATCACGCTAACGGTCCCACTGGATATCGTGCTGACGGTCTCACTGGATATCGCGCTGACAATCTGGCTGGATAATGTGCTGAGTGTCTCGCTGGATATCGTGCTATAGATTGTGCTACATAGAAAATAATTCAGCACGATATCTAGTGAGACCGTCAGTGCGATATAAAGCAAGATATCCAGCGAGACCGTCAGCGAGATATCCAGCGAGACCGTCAGCGCGACTTCCAGCAAGGCCGTCAGCGCGATAACAAGCAAGATATCCAGTGGAACCGTCAGCGCGATATCAAGCAAGATATCCAGTGAGACCGTCAGCACGATATCCAGTGGGACCATCAGCGCGATAACAAGCAAGATATCCAGTGGAACCGTCAGCGCGATATCAAGCAAGATATCCAGTGAGACCGTCAGCACGATATCCAGTGGGACCATCAGCGCGATAACAAGCAAGATATCCAGTGGAACCGTCAGCGCGATATCAAGCAAGATATCCAGTGAGACCGTCAGCACGATATCCAGTGGGACCATCAGCGCGATAACAAGCAAGATATCCAGTGGAACCGTCAGCGCGATATCAAGCAAGATATCCAGTGAGACCGTCAGCACGATATCCAGTGGGACCATCAGCGCGATAACAAGCAAGATATCCAGTGGGACCATCAGCGCGATAACAAGCAAGATATCCAGTGGGACCATCAGCGCGATAACAAGCAAGATATCCAGTGGGACCATCAGCGCGATAACAAGCAAGATATCCAGTGGGACCATCAGCGCGATAACAAGCAAGATATCCAGTGGGACCATCAGCGCGATAACAAGCAAGATATCCAGTGGGACCATCAGCGCGATAACAAGCAAGATATCCAGTGGGACCATCAGCGCGATAACAAGCAAGATATCCAGTGGGACCATCAGCGCGATAACAAGCAAGATATCCAGTGGGACCATCAGCGCGATAACAAGCAAGATATCCAGTGGGACCGTCAGCGCGATATCAAGCAAGATATCCATCAAGACCGCCAGCGTGATATCCTGCGTGATATCCAGCAAGATATCCAGTGAAACCGCCAGCGTGATATCCAGCATGATATCCAATGAGACCATCAGCACGATATCCAGCTAGATTGTCAGCGCGATATCCAGTGAGACCGTCAACACGATATCCAGTGGGACCGTTAGCGCGATATCAAGCGAGATATCCAGCGAGACCGTCAGCGCGACTTCCAGCAAGGCCGTCAGCGCGATAACAAGCAAGATATCCAGTGGGACCATCAGCGCGATAATAAGCAAGATATCCAGTGGGACCGTCAGCGCGATATCAAGCAAGATATCCATCAAGACCGCCAGCGTGATATCCAGCTAGATATCCTGCGTGATATCCAGCGAAACCGTCAGCGTGATATCCAGCATGATATCCAATGAGACCATCAGCACGATATCCAGCTAGATTGTCAGCGCGATATCCAGTGAGACCGTCAACACGATATCCAGTGGGACCGTTAGCG